GACAAATGCTTTCACACGAAAATGTGTGGGACAAATGCTCTTCCACCACGAAAACCTGTGGGACAACTGCTCTTCCCCACGAAACGTGTGGGAAACTGCTCTTCCCACCACGAAACCTGGTGGACAAACTGCTTCGTCACACGAAAACCTGGTGGGACAAACTGTCTTCCACCCGAAAACCGGTGGCAACTGCTCTTCTTACCACCAAAAACCTGCTGGACATAAATGCTCTTCCCCACGCAAAACTTGGTGAACCAAGGCAGAAGCTGGGCTGCACAGGCAGGCGTAAATACTGGTGTTAGAGCCTTTGCGACAACCAACGTGGTTTAGAAACAGCGCATCCGGCTAATAATAGTATGCATCAACAAACATGATCATCTCACCAATAGATGACTTTCTGTGCAGAAAACAGAAAAGAGTAAAATTAAAAAATTTTATAGAAAAATAAAATATAGAATATTTAATGATAATAATAATATCAAGCCGGCACGGTGGCTCCGCCTGTCAGCTAGCATCTTGGAGCCGAGGCGGGACGGAATTGTTTGAATCAGAGTTCGGACCAGCTGAGCAAGAGTGAGAAGCCCCGTCTTATAAGAAATAGAAGACATTAGGACTGACGAGAAAAAATAGAAAATAATACGAAAAGAAACCAGTTTGTCCCACCAGGTTTTCGTGGTAGAAGAGCAGTTTGTCCCACCAGGTTTTCGTGGTAGAAGAGCAGTTTGTCCCACCAGGTTTTCGTGGTAGAAGAGCAGTTTGTCCCACCAGGTTTTCGTGGTGGAAGAGCAGTTTGTCCCACCAGGTTTTCGTGGTGGAAGAGCAGTTTGTCCCACTATGTTTTCGTGGTAGAAGAGCAGTTTGTCCCACCAGGTTTTCGTGGTAGAAGAGCAGTTTGTCCCACCAAGTTTTCGTGGTGGAAGAGCAGTTTGTCCCACTATGTTTTCGTGGTGGAAGAGCAGTTTGTCCCACCAAGTTTTCGTGGTAGAAGAGCAGTTTGTCCCACCAGGTTTTCGTGGTGGAAGAGCAGCTTGTCCCACCAAGTTTTCGTGGTGGAAGATGAGCTTGTCCCACCAAGTTTTCGTGGTGGAAGAGCAGCTTGTCCCACCAAGTTTTCGTGGTGGAAGAGCAGTTTGTCCCACCAAGTTTTCGTTGTGGAAGAGCAGTTTGTCCCACCACGTTTTCGTGGTGGAAGAGCAGTTTGTCCCACCACGTTTTTGTGGTGGAAGAGCAGTTTGTCCCACCACGTTTTTGTGGTGGAAGAGTAGTTTGTCCCACTAAGTTTTCGTGGTAGAAGAGCAGTTTGTCCCACCACGTTTTCGTGGTAGAAGAGCAGTTTGTCCCACCAAGTTTTCGTGGTAGAAGAGCAGTTTGTCCCACCACGTTTTCATGGTAGAAGAGCAGTTTGTCCCACCGGGTTTTCGTGGTAGAAGAGCAGTTTGTCCCACCACGTTTTCGTGGTGGAAGAGCAGTTTGTCCCACCACGTTTTCGTGGTGGAAGAGCAGTTTGTCCTACCACGTTTTCGTGGCTGCTGACTCTATGGCCATCTCCCTCCCCCCGCCCCGCCCCGCCCTGCAGGGAGCGGAGAGAGAGAGAGCTGCACGAGGCGTACAAGAATGCGCGGTCCCGGGAGGAGGCGGAGGGCGTCCTGCAGCAGTACATCGAGAGGTTCACCATCAGCGAGGCTGTTCTCGAGCGCCTGGAGATGCCAAAAATTCTGGAAAGAAGCCATTCCACAGAGCCAAACTCGCCTTCCTTCCCGAGCGACCCCAACCCCATGAAGTACCTGCGGCAGCAGTCGCTGCCTCCGCCCAAGTTCACTGCCAGCGTGGAGACCACCATCGCCCGCGCCAGCCTTCCGGAAGCCGGCGTGCCCGCGGGCGGCGGGTCTCCAGGCAAAACCGCCGCCCCCAGGGCCGTGCCTGTGCTGACGCCCAAGCCTTACGCCCAGCCCAGGAACTCCCAAGAGGTTCTGAAGACCTTTAAGGTAGGACAGGTCCCCACACCTCTCGGGCCGCACAGGAGTCTCTGAGACGAGAGCCAGGGACCGCACGTTTCTGGGCAAACTGCACGTTACTTAAATCATCCTCACTACCTTTTCAATAACTATAGCATTTCTATTTACAAAAACAATTAAACAGCTAATTAAACATTTAAAGTTCCTAGTACCTTTTTAACGTACGGTGCCGCGTAAAACGTTTTCCTCTATGAGGAGGGACGCAACAAAATTTACGTAAGTGCCTAGATTTGCTCCTTTTCCCACGGGCGGCACAAACTCTGCAGGCTCTCGGGGGAAGTTTTTTCTTTCCACTCGCCGGAATGCACGCAGGTTCACACTGCCTCATGTCACCTGACAGCCTTCTGGGTGGGTCTTTACGAGGTGCTGTCCTTGCACCCCCAGGGGAAGGGCTGGGCAGATTTGAGGAAACTCGTGAGCGGTCCTTAACAGGTGGCTCGCGAAACACTAGAAAACTCGTGAGCGGAATCAGAGCCAAAAGTGCACTCCGGGCAGTCGACGGGAAAGAAGCATCCCGACACGAGGAAACTCAGTTCTTTTTACCAAACAGAAGCAAAACGTGTTCACGTTTATGCTTGTGACGTTTACGAGCCTCCGGGAGATTTGGTTTGTGGATGCTCAAGGGATGGATGTCCCCTCGATTGCTGCCGTTGGTGCTGGCGGGCTGCAGTGAGTGAGGCTGCCGGTCGCGTCACCTCCAGGAGCGAGGTCCGTTTCCCAGTCCGATCTGATGGCCTGGTCTCTCTGGAGTCGTGCTGACAGACCCTAATTTAGTAATGCCCTGGTATTCCCAGCTATCTGGAGACACGAAAAACTCCTCAAAACAGAATTTTATTTGCCCTGGGTTCAAAGAGGAGTATGTGGAGCTACCAGTCTTTCAGGAAGAAATTGACATCGTAGCCGAAAAGATGCTGCGACAGAAAAAACACGAGCAACACGTAAGAACGTGGAATGTAGCTGGCCCTCAGATGGGACAGGCTTGTTTGTGTTTTGTTTAAGTGGAAATAAACTGGGTTGTTTTACCGATGAATGTGTAAAGTAATGTTCCCGAGCCAACACACTCACGGCAGCCAGACATCTTTTCGCTTGCTCACGTTTCAGTGCTTCCCACATCTCGTGAGAAAGCACACTCACCCTTGTCTGAAGTTCTCTTAACGGTAAAGAAAAATCAGTTCTCCTTGTCGCTGCACACCACGTGAGTTAGTCGTAGAAGACAGGCAGAGTCCATCACTGTCACGAGAAGTTTGACTGTAAAAAAGCGTCTGTCACGAAACTGAGCAAAGTGATGCGATGTGTCTTCCTCATTGAATTTCAGGTTATATGGCTTTTGTTTAAATCAATTTGAATGTATCTTAAAAATCTGTGCTGTGGCCAGACGCGGTGGCTCACGCCTGTCATCCTAGCACTCTAGGAGGCCGAGGCAGGAGGATCGCTCAAGGTCAGGAGTTCGAAACCAGCCTGAGCAAGAGCGAGACCCCGTCTCTACTAAGAATAGAAAGAAATTAATTGGCCAACTAAAAATATATGTAGAAAAAATTAGCC